CTAACCCCCCTTAATATTGGATGTCCCTAAACAGAAACAAACCACTTGCTGTTCTCATATAGTATTAGTATGTTGTAGCTGCTGGCTGATTTGCTTACATTCTAACCAGATGACCAAACCATTTGATTCTTTGATGTTCTGTGAAATCACTTACCGGTACTATGCCTATCATTGAACTATGTTCTTCGTGTTGACTGTCTCTTATTGTTTTTCCTCTGCACTTATTATACATCTCATCTCACATGTTGTAATTTTGCGTTTATGTTTTTATAGGACTGTTTGTGTCTGGCTCTGATAGCACAAAGTTAGTACGAATAAGCACATTTATCAGCTAATTTTGTGTGTGTGCATGTTGATATTTGGATGCCTCAGCTGTTGATCAGTCCATATACCTTGCTTTTTCAATACTAATTAAATTCTATGTTTCTTATAGCTCGTGACCTTCGTGACCTGATGTCGCGCTATGACTACAACCGCATTCTCCTTGACAACATCAAGCAGCCATACGAGATCATCTATCCCCAGCAGTTGGACAAAGGGCGTGTGTCGGACATATCCACTAGGAAGCACAAGATCCGTCACCATGTAAGTAAATGGTCTTTGTTATGTTTGTGGGATGTTGTAAGTTTCATCCTCTCCCATATCTTCTTTTCCCCTTGTGGGTTCTGGGGCCCCATTGTAGGGGAGGAAAAAATAAACCCACTGTCCACAAACAACCATGCCATAAAAGTCAAACTAATTAGGGACGTTTCCTTCGAAGTCAGAGTGTATCTCCCTCAAAGGCAATGAACCAACAGTCTGCATAAAAATAAGCCAGATTTGTAAAATGGATATGCACATAAAGCTCAGGCTCATTCAGAAATTGAGGGAGGGGGACGATTCTGGAAGATAGTAAACACAGAAAAGGTGGTGGAACAAAAGGTGGTGGAACAAAAGCAGCTGGTACTGTCAATTCTTGATTTAATGATTCATACCCAAAAAAAAAAACTACAGATATGAAAAGTAATATGAATGTGAGTACAATGTCTTTTTCCCTGGTACATCTTTTTCTCTTTTAATAATGCATCTCAGAATTGATTACCACCTCTTTCTAATGTTTATGACAAATGTGTAATCCGTTATGGCCATCAAATATCCATATGTAAAATTCACACAGCCTGTTGATTAACTCAACAGGGTACACATGAGCATGTCCAGCAGTTGTTACTTCAGGTGGTTTTGGACAGTAAAAAGTACAAGATCAAGCTCACACAGAATGAGTAAGTTGTTGTATTGTTAGTTTACTAAACATTTAAAAACATTTTACATGATGGTAAAATTGTAAGCCGGTTTCAGAAGCAAGATAACTAGATAACATCGGGTACCTTCAGTGTGGAAACTCTTCTCTGGTTTGTGAGAGAGACGGAACTAATATGGGCTTGCCTTTAATATTGTGATGTCAAATCCTTTACTGGATAAACCCAGATAAAATTAAGAACGTACACATTAATTGGTCGGCTCTGTGGCTAAGTCGATGCGAACGCTTCGCGTCGTAATGCCGGGGTGCCGGGTTCGATCCCAGCTGCGGGCAGTGCGCCTTGCGTTGGTTTCGAAAGTGGTATCAAGAAAGCCGACCTTCCAGAAAGCAATGGTAAACTACTGGACGTAAATTTGCCTAGAGAGACCACACAACAGCTAGGGGCTGTTAGGGTTGGTTCTGCAACGTCCTGTAAAGGATACGCAACTAACTAACACATTAATTGAACTTGTTTTGTTGTCTGTTTATGTGAAGATGCTTCATGTTTCAAAAGCCATATATTGATTTGATCTTGACCTTTAATTGGCATGATGACATGTAGCATCTGTTTTACAGTGTTGTCAGAGACCTAGTTTACTACTGTGATGGCATAAGGCTCGCTTGTAGGCCCGTGACAGACTATCTGCCTCTAAACACACTAAGGCAAACACTTACAGAGCACACATACCAATCTTTAATGTACAGAACAGCATACAGCCACTGGACTCCACACTGAGACCATGGAACGTCTGCAGAGTGTAGGCCAAAATGTGCAAGGATAGATCAAATCACAAAATATTACTACAACCTGGGTAACAGCAAAACTGCAATACCAACAAGCTACCCACGTGAATCGCTACACAAAATTCTAACTCTGTCGGACGCGGTACACCACAAGAACTAATGCTATTGTCCAGCTAACCACACTAATACATGAACTACCCGTTACTACACTTAGATTGGCATGGCCATGGCCATTGAGTTAACCGTATGTGTCGATTCTTCCCCACCAAATATATGGTTGACACATTACGTTTCTGGGGACAGCTTTTATCGAGTTTGCTCTCTAGACAGTTGCAGTCCCCTGCTGACGAGATTCTGTCTTCCCGAGTGGACCGCCGCGATCAAAACATTGCGAAGGTAGCGTGGCCGAGGCTGCCAAAACTATCGGTCATTATCCGGCCCCGAAACAGCACAACCACAATACACGCTGTTCCCACAAAAAACACATAATATCCTGCGTTGGAAATGCGCATAAAATAACAGTCCATGTTTATGAAACAGAATAATCCGAGAGAGTTGACAGCCAGCGAAAATCAACATGTACTGTCACAGATTTCTGTGAGATGTCTGTCTCTGTCACTGAGCTACTGGCATGTCACGGTCATTGCATACAGACATAGACATTCACTGTCATCACCATTTATGTCCTATACCTGCACTGGACTGACAAGTGTCAGCCATTAGGGTGTGGACAAACATGGTGATTAACTGTATACAGTATGGACTATACCTGCAATGGAACAGAGAATCAGTATATTGAAAACTTAATTCTGTGGGGTGTTAGTAGAGGGTATGAAACATATATTTAACACTAAGCCGGAAACAGGCAGACTTTTAATCAGGTTGCAACTGGAACTGAGGAGCGGCTGACCGAACGGTAAGAACGCTGGGCTCTCATTTCAGAGACCAGGTTTGAATCCTCGGTAAGGCTAGGGATTTTTTTCTGTCTGGTGCAAAAATAAAATCCTCACCTGCACAGTCCTTGGCGACAGCACTAGCCATGCGGCCCTAAATCTTCAAGGCTCATAGACCCTCCTGCCTACACAGCAAAAGTGGTGTAATAAAGGCAGTAATTGGCAGTTTTTGGCAACTTGTACTGTTAGCATGCCAACTTTGTGTTGGCTACTGAGAAAGAAGATAGAGCATGTGTGGGAATGTCCTGAGTGCAGGGATGGTAATTCTTGATTCATTCATTCATTCATTCATTCATTCATTTATTCATATTCATATCAGATGCAGCTCTGGATATTGTGAAGATATTTCTAGAGACATTTAATAAGGCAAAGTTCTGTAGAGGGCAGTTTACTGCATGATGTGTAAATCTGGAAAAACTTTCCTGGTAATTTCCCTATACTTTTATACACCTGTAGAGACTGGGTCAGCATCATTATCTTAGAGATTTTGAACATAGTTTTAAAATCTCAGTATACCAGGGTTCGAAGTCAGCTACAGCCAATTTGGTAACAGACAGCTTTGGTTGAACAGCTTTATGGGCACCATATTATGCCTAGTTAAACTACAAACATCCAGTGAAGCCTATGGTTAGTTTCTGACATCCTGGAGAGGATAAACAGCTAACTTTTTGTAGAGAAAGATTGTCACTTTTAAGTGTGTTTTTCAGTTGTAAATTCTCCTACTTTCAGAGTTCTTCTCTCAGAAGGCATTGTTGTCAAACACTATGAAGAAGGCAACCAACAAGTCTTGACAAAGGTACAGTCTCACCATGAGTTCATCTATTGATTATTGTACTGTGCTCTGTTTGTTTTTAGCCTCAGGGACAATATGCTGAATGTTATTACATCTTTGCTAGTGACATCAGCATACATGATTTTTGTGTATGCGGTTTGAGTATGTGGGGTAGGATCAGTGCAGTTGATTGATACTGTGGGAATCTCAGCTCCCTGTTCATTGCTGCATGTGGTCGTGTTGACCTAGTTGTAATGGTTTTTTTTTTTTTTTTCAGTTGCTATTGGTCTTTTGATTACACATTGGTGGTGGGGGGGGGGGGGGGGGTGTTACTGATAAAATAAATACTGACTCTGACATTCTAAAAGATCTGAACATCATGGAAGATTGGTTAATAAGCAGCATTGTGTCTTGGAAGCTGAAATATTTTGGCCTTTTCAAGCGCCATGGTGGATTGAAAAAAAAATAATAGCAGAAGGCATGGTACCAGGAAAAAGGTGCAGGGGTCGACCAGCATGAAAATGGGCATAGAATATAAGTGACTCCTTAAATATGAAAGTGCACAAGGCGGACGAGCTGACCGAGTTTCTTTTAGGCAGACCGTCGTGAAAGTTATTTTCTGGAAAGGACCTGCTACATAATGATGTAGGTTACTATTAATGTTTTAATGCATCTCTTTTAGGAAGATTCTTTTGCTTATTTGAAATCTATCAGCTTTTATCTAATAAAGCAAACAGTTAGTTTTTGTGTATCCTTTACAGGACATTGCGGAACCAAATCCAACATTTTTTGACTTGTGGTTTTTCTAGGCAAATTTACGTTTAATAGTTTGTCGTTGCTGTCTGGACGGTGAGCTTCTCGATACAGCTGTCGAAACCAGTGCAATCTTCGCAGCTGGGAACAAACCCGGCACCCCCGCATTGCGAAGCCCTTTCACAATGCTTTAGCCACAGACGTCGACCGAGCAAACAGAAGTATTTAACATATTCAAGCAAAATTATTCATAGTTTTGCTTGTCTCATATCGTGAATCAACCAGAATTTTTGCAAAAAACGACCTTGGCTGTCAGGTCGACCCAGCCTTAAATGGGTACCAGATATAGTCATGGGAAGTAAAAGTTGCTGGCATGATGTTAACAACATCCACTGAGTGCTGATTAATGTATAACATATGTCTAGCAATGTGTGCCTGATGCGCCAGTGGCATGAAAAGGGTCCTTTACTGTAAAACATATTAATGTGCTTATTTTCATCAGACTGTTGAGCATTGCTACTACCATGGCAGCGTGAGGAAGGATGAGTGGTCTAGTGTTGCAGTCAGCACATGCAATGGAATACGGTATGTTTGTGTCAAGACTCCACAATCCATTTTCTTATGTCACTACTCATAGTACCTATTTAGGTGGTATTGTAGTGGCTGAACTGATAGAGAATTTTAAATATTAATACATAAGGCAAGAGGAGTCGTTGTGGCTTAGCAGCTAGACACTTGCATGGGGATTGAAAGGCCGTGGCTTCGCTTCCTGGCAAAGCCGAAATTTTTTGCAAGGTACCGTGTGCAGTCCTGGGAAGTAAAAGCGGCTGGCGTGATGCTAACCACATCGCCTGTCTTGTGCCGATTGGTCTATAAAATATAGGTCTAGCTCTATATGCCCTGTACACCTAGAGGTGTGGAAAAGGGCCCATTTTTTTTTTTTTTTACATAAGGCAAGAGGAGTTATCACAGCACTGAAATCTATGGAAGGCCAAGACAATTCATAATAGCACCAAACTCAAAATGTTTGGCTATGATGTGAAATCATTACTGCTCATTTTAATGTCCAAGGAATAGTTAAAAACATTAAAATTCCTTAGCCATCCAAAATAGAAGCCCAAATGTTTTTAAAGAGGCGAGGATTATCTTTAAATTTCATCATCATGTGCTTTGTTCTTACAGGTGCTTTTAATGTCTTTTAGTTAACATAAGTGGTGTTATAAAACACCTCATTTGTTTTCTTCTAATTTAACAAATTTGTTTGGTTTAACAGTAAATTTGTTTGGAGTTTTGTCAACAGCATGTCACACAGTATGGGGCAAAAACATTGAAAGATGAAGATACCTGCCTTATCTCCTAGAGACCATGCCGTCCATTACCTTTTTTTCTAAGCATATTTTACCCTGAGAAGCTGCATAACTGACACTTCTGGTTTACCAGACACATAGTTAATGCTACTAGTTGTTTTTATGCCTGTGCAGGCATTTAAGATATGAATAAAAAGAAAAAGTTGTGTATCCTTTACAGGACGTTGCAGAACCTCCCCAGGATTGTTTTTCTTTCTGTTGTGGTTTTTGTAATCAAATTTTACGTTCAGTAGTTTGCCATTGCTCCTGAACAGTCAGTTCTTGGTACCACTGTTGAAACCAACGCAAGAGGTTCTGCTGCCAAATGGCCTGCAGCTGGGATCAAACCTGGCACCTTAGTATACGAAAGGCGTTCACATCGCCTTAACCATAGGATATGAAAACATTAACTAAAAATAGTATTCATGGGGATTTTCCTTTTCATAAGCTGAGTTGGGGTCAAATTTTCCTGTAAACCTCAGTGAGACATGTCATGGGACAGTTGCATGTATATCTTTATGAGAGGCAAGAAACCAATAGTCGACATACAATTGAGCCAAATCTGTGAAATATACACAGTAAACCTAAGTTCTTGAATAAAACAAAAGTCTAGAAGTGGACTAACAACCAAAACTTTCCGCCTGAGTTTACAGCCGATGAACACATAGAAGGAAAAAAGGCTTTACTTTAATCGAGCAAAAAATATATTTGAAGTAACATTTATTCAGTTATTGTATTTTTGTTACATTATTCCTTTTCAAGTTTCACTATACCTAGTTTCCAACCTCTGTTATTGCTTTTTTTCTCTCACAGTGGTGTTATACAAATGCATAATGAAACGTATATTATCCACCCTTTGATAAAAGATGATGAGGTGAGTATTCAATTTGTTTAAGAAATCACCAAATAACTTAATAAACTTATGTTAGAAAAATTCACCAGGTGAAGCTTATGATCCAATGTTTTACATATTATCCAATAAGTTAAGGAGCCAAATGCTTTACACTTCACCAGATACTTTAAAGAGCCAGTACTTTACAAATCATCAGATACATTCATCAACCAGTTCTTCACAGATCATAAGACAAATTAATAAGAATTTTTTTTTACACATCATCTGAAATGTTAATGAGCTCTTGTTTTACAGATCATCAGATAAATTAATGAGCTGAGGTTTTATAAATCATCAGATATGCTAATGAGCCAATGTTTTACTCATCATCAGATAAGTTAATGAGCCAGTGTTTTACAGATCACATAATGAAGCCTGTCTGCCAATGTTTTACAAAAATGAAACTAATGAGGGGATGTTAAAGAAATCACCAGCTGAAACTAATGATTAATTAGAATCATCAGTTAGGAGATGTGTCACACTAATAAAGTACAGAATAGGGCACATGTAATTGCCTCTTTTAAAACGAGGAAAATCTTGTGAAATATTAAAAAAAAATTATTTAAATTTGGGGGGGAAAATTTCTTGCATGTTATATGTAGAACCAGATTTAACCATTGTCTGTGAATCCTTGATAAATAGTAGTTTTAAAAAAGGATGATACTTGGTGTCCAAGAGTCATAGTCATTTGTTAAAATTAGTGTTGAAATTTTATCAGAGATCTTTGTGTAGTGCTTGTACAATCTTTCTGCAGATGAAGACTGAGCAAGTTGAAATAAAGCTGAATGAATTGAACTCTTATTTCAGCTTTAGATCACCTTTTAAAAAAAAAACATTCAACTGAAATTCTATTTTTAATACAGTGATTTGAATTTCTTTCAGGATCTAGAACATCCTCATGTTATTTTCAAGGCCTCAGTGTCGCACATGATGATAATTGTGGTAAGATTTGAACAGGTTATGAGTGTTTTGCTGTGAAATTGTCTTGCTTTTTTTGGGGTGGGTTTGTCTTGGCGAAAGATTATGTTGTATTGTATCTAGTTGCAACAAAGCCTCAATATCTGAGGGTATCATTATTCTCATTTTGCCTCCTTGTGTGAAAACCTGGTTCTTTGCTTAACCTTTTCAGTCCCAAGGAACAATCATACTTTCATAGGTTCCTATTTAGAAGCCCAATGAATGCAAGGTATGTCAATTTTAGGTCTGGTCTCTCTTTACCACCCCTTGGGCCTCTGATGCTAAACCCCCCTGGAACTGAACGAGTAATTTACTTACAGCGCCACTGTACTTTACTGTCTTTAACTGACCATAGAACAACTTTTTATGGCATTGTGTAGGACAGGAATCTTGAGCTGTATCAAATTCATGACAGTTTTTTTGGCTAGATTCATAATATCATTTTGGTTGCAGGTTATCTTCTCCTTTAATATTTGCAATGAACATTAAAGGGCTTATTTTGTTTTGAGTCTATTTCTAGCATGCATATATATTTTTTTAAAATAAGATCTGGATAAGTGGAGAATGAACAGACTTTTTTCCCAGTCAAAAATGTGGAATGCAGGGGCCTGTCTTACATTTGGCCCTTACAGACAGGCGTCTTACCCACACTGCATTTTTATATCTGTAAAGCATGTCATGTTTATAAAAATAACATTCTTGACTGGGAGCGGTCATAGTGTGGTGGCTAGATGCTCACCTTCAGATCCAAAGGTCATGGGGTCAAGTCCGAACAGAGGCGGACTATTTTCAGAAATGACCTTTGCTCCCAGTTCTGCCCAGGCTTAAGTGGGTACCAGGTAAAGTCCTGGAAAGTAAAAGCCGAATGGTATGATGTTTACCACATCACCCACTGAGTGCAGTTGGTCTATAAAATACAGGTCTAGCACTATATGCTAAATACCCTCAAGTGGTGGACAAGGGTCCTTTTTTTTTTTAACAATCTTGATTATCGTTGTGAAACAATGGATAAACCATTTAAAAAAGATGAATGCAGCCAGTGACACATATTTTGATACTGTCCGAGCCAGCAAACCAGAGCGTGCTCCAACTGCAAGTGGTGTTTCTAGAAAAAAGTTGCATTTTTGCAGTCTCGCCAAAAGGGTAAGAAACAAAAATGGAAGGCCAGCTTTGGCTTAAAAAAACACACCAAAAAACTGTTATGCTTAAGTCACACTTATTGAAAGAAAATTACCTGTTGCTTCTTTTTTTTTCTCTACTCCTGGAATGCCTCGCGGCGTCAGAGGAGGAAGAGATCTTTAGAATAGGCCTTTCTGTTTGCTTTGTATATAGTACTTTTCAGTGACTCTGATATTTCTGGGGTCCATATTCTGCGTGGTCGACCTCTGGGTCTGTTACTGTTGTATATGTGTAACATTGCTCTCTCTTGTGCCCTGTCTGCTACCTGTAGCTCAACCTTTAAAATAATTTATGAATCATTAACATCAAGTGCATTGCTGACTGGCATGGGCGATCATGCCTCTCTATAATCTGCAATTTTCAGTTCATGTGCCAACACTCCTCCATGCCATGATAAAAGGCTGTCAAGAATCTTCCTGCATTGTCTTCCTCAGTCTCTTTTTCCACAGATCTTTCCAGCAGTCACAACATGCTAGTTTCCTTGCTCCTCATAACATGGAGTAGAAAATTATGATTGTCTCTTTCTCGTGTTTATGATAAGTTGTCTTTGAGCCCTCCTCTCTTTAAAAAAAAAAATCTGTACCCCAAGCCCCATCGCTGTATTTTTCCTAGTAAATCATGCCTTTTTGTGAACATGGTTTAAACAAAATTAAGGGACCATTTTTCACGCCAGTGGCACATAAGACTTATGATACTAGAAACATATGTTTATAGACCATTCAGCAATTGAGGGTGATATGGTCACTATCACGCCAGCTGCTTTTACTGCCCAGGACTTTTCCTGAGACCTAGTTTAAACTGAGTCGACCTGGGAAGAATAGGAAATGAGGATAAAGGAGAAAATTTTCTCAGATAGGCTGAGCTGTGCTTCCAAAATCTGAGAAGGAAGCATGTTAAATACATGCTGTGGCAACAGAGATCATGAAATCCCCTGTCTTAATTGTGGAAGACTTTGTAACATGAGTGGGTCTTGCTAGTCACACTCACCATTGCCATGGGCTGTGATTGCCTTGCCTCTCTGTGACACAAGATAATATTGTCATCTGGATGGTCAGAAGGTTTCCATTCATCAACTGTTTTAGAAGAATGTGCATCAATTAAAAAATATGAGATTGGCTGACTGGTTGGTGTAGCTGAAAAAATAGAAATCATGAAATGGAGTAGGACAGTGTGACATGATCACATTTCCCATTAAGTGCTGATTGGTCTCTGCCAGCAGTTCTCAAACTGTGGGTCGTGACCCCTTAGGGGGTGAAAGGACCTTTCTACAGGGGTCGCCCAAGACCATAGGAAAACACATATTTTTATTGGCCTTAGGAGCCCACACACCTCTCTTCTATCTGTCTGCAGGTGGGTCAACCCACATATGAATACCCGGTGCTGTGATGTACTTATGTGGACCAGGCAGACATGTAGAGGGCAGCCACTGTGTAAAAAGCAACAGTATGCTTGCAGACAAAATTTCATCCCAAGGCAGAATTAAGGTTATGGAGTAGCAAACAAAATAATTTTATGTTTGGGGGTCACCACAACACGAGGTACTGTATTAAAGGGTCATGGCATTAGGAAGGTTGAGGGATTGAGATTATCATCCATTTTCGTCCTTATTAGGACGAAATTTTTTGTCATTTGAAGCCCTACCCTGGCTTTTGCCAGGGGCCGCAATATAGGCAGGCCATACATATGGCCAAATGTCTGAACGCGGTTTCTGGGACCTCTCCACGGCGATCCTCATCCGCATGGTGGCGCTTTGTGTCATCGGGTGTTTATCACTTGTGTGATGTCCTGGTGGGGTAGAGGGTCAGTCAGTCAGGAAGGTTGAGAACCACTGGTCTATACTACCGTGCAGCTCGTATCATATGTTTTATTTACCTCAAGGAACAAAACTGACACTTTTGTTTATTTTAGAAGAAATGTAAGGCTGAACTTATCTCATTTTGATTTGATTTTAGGCAACAGTCATGGACTTTGGTTGCCATTTCAAGAACTTCACAAAGGAGAGCTTATTAAAAGAACCAAGTTTGCAAATGCTCAGAGGGTAACTTTAGGAAAAAATGTGTGTTATAGTGGATATGAAATTGCACATTTTGTCAACTTTGGTAGCTAACTGAAAGGTCTGAACTAATTTCTGTCAGTTTTAAGAATGGAGCCGTAGATTGTTGCTAATTTCTGTCAATGATCTCAGCTGACACAGTTTCTGACTAATTTCTGTGCGGACCCATATCTCTGTATTAATGTAATTCTTATTTTTAGCTAACCAGTTCTCCAGTCAACTTTTTGAGTGGGCCCATAGTTCTTTATTAATTTATAGCAATTTCTCCTTTTTTTTTTTTAGCTGGTCCAAGAATTCGAAACACATTTATTTGTCACTTTTTTTTCTGGACACCTTTCCAGTTATTGTTTGTTTGTGTGAGGATGTGTGCGTTTGTGTGTGTGTGCATGTTTATCTATGTGTTTTATATGTGTGGGGATGGGAAATATACATTCACTTTATATGTTGTCTAGACCACAGGCTCTTCAGCTTTGAATATATTTAGCTTCAGTTTTTTTTTAAATCTCTGTTGTTCAATAAGAAACTCTTTACGTTCAGATTGTTGAATTTCCACTCATATTATATACTAAAGGTTTTCAGAAAGGATTTAAACATGTAAACATTTTAATGAAAAATTATATTATACATTTTATTAATTGCATAAAATCATGTTTCTTTCTTAAAGGGCTACGTTCTGCGTCATTATATTGTACACATTGTTGGAAATGTAATTTTATTTTACTTTGCCTTATTCAGAGTCACCATCAAACAAATGAAACTTCTCCAAAACTGTTACGGATTGGCATGGTTCTGGATAAATCAATGGTAATAATGTTTTATGTACAGCAATTTTTTTTTTGGAGCCTTCTTTAGGAAAATCATCATAAACTATCATATTATTAATAATATACTTGGATACTAGTCTTTCTCTCTCTCTCACTCTCTCTCTCTCTCCCCCTCCCCTCTCTCTCTCTCTCTCTCTCTAGGTATATACCAAGATTTCTCTGGTCTTCCCTCTCCTTACTCTTCTCCCCTTCCTCTCCCCCTTTCTGTTTTGTTTCTCCCCTACCTCCCCCCTCTCTCTCGTTCTCTATCTTCTTCTCTTTTCTCTCCCCTATTCATACAACCTTTCATTCATCCATTCATTTTTCCTCGTGACATATGGATGCACTGTCCTAATGTGGAACAACTTCGTGATAGTGTTGGAACGCACTCCTCCTATACAGTGTACATATCTCGTTTTGACTACCGAGAGGGTAAGTATGTGTACACATTGGGGGTATGCACTTCTGACTCGACAGATATTGGGTATAACAGTCATCCTTACTGTCTCTGTGTGACATCTGACAGTCAGATAGAAGCACTGCATCACTAGACCCTGGTTCACGCGATGTCAGATTACCATACATTCAGACCCATCCATCTATATATCCTTCCATCTACCCATCCATCCTCTCGTCCACCCATATATCATATCATTCATTCATCCCAATCCACTCAGCCTATTATTCGATGTGTCCATCCATTCATCGCTCCCCACGTTTCTTTGCACACATACCCGATGTACAATCCATCACTGGTCTCGGCTACCTACTCAGCAGGTATCTCAGGCAACACGATGTTGTTGCGCGTGGGCTCGATTGATACTTTAAAAAACAATCACCCTTACTTGTCTTTACTTGCTTGATGACAGTAAGAGAGAAGCATCACAGTATGAGACCCTTGTTTGGACCTCTTTAAATCCCCGGCTCTCTAGCGTAGTTGGCTAAACCGGATTGCGCGGTGAGCGGGTGACGAACTCCATGTGGTCCGGGAGTAGGCATAAAAGCCACATTTCTCCTAGCTTTACGGTATTTAAAATGGAATCAAGGCCGAAGGGTTGCGATATCCATAATACCGAGCCTAAGGATTAACAACTCATGGCTTCTGGATACTAAAACAAAGCAACAAACCTATTTTAATATATCAGCATACATATAGGCAGATCCATCCATCCATCTACCATTGCATCTATCTACGAACGTAACCATCGTCCCGCCCATTCATCTACCCACACCATTTATCTCACCATCCACTCAGTGCTATTTTTCACCGCTTCCTTCCATTCTGGCTGTTACCAGCCTTACACTTGGGCTCTACCAATACTTTGTATAAAAATCACCCTTACTGTCTCTATTTGATAGCGGACAGTAAGAGAGAAGCACTGTGTTACTAGACTCATGTTTTTACCTCATCTCATATTTGATCAATCAATCCATCCATCTACGATACCATTCATCCACTAATACAGTCATCCATCATTCCATCCATTCATCTACCCACCCATCTATCCAGGACACACTCGCCTATCCACACCACCATCCACACATGCTGTTTTCCCATCTATCCCTTCATCGCTCCCTTACACTCTGGTTGTTACCAGTCTTACTCTCGGGCTCGACTGATTACTTTTGTAAAACAAGCATCCTTACTGTCTCTATTTGATAGCTGACAGTAAGAGAGAAGCATTTATCTATCTATCTATCTATCTGTCTGTCTGTCTGTCTGTCTGTCTGTCTGTCTGTCTGTCTGTCTGTCTGTCTGTCTGTCTGTCTGTCGGTCTGTCTGTCTGTCTGTCTGTCTAGCTGTCTGTCTGTCTAGCTGTCTGTCTGTCTATCTATCTAGCTGTCTGTCTGTCGATATTTGTTTGCAAGCACAGGCACCACTTTTATTCCACGCGGATGGACTAAGGTCATCCCCACAACCCAACCCCGGTTACGCCCTATAGGCCAACCCCTCCCTCCCTCCTTAGACACTTAGTGTACGCTGTTGGCGTCCAGCCTGTCCCTTTTTTTTGCCCCTACCTGTGCGTTGGAGGTATATAGGCTGACCGTCGTTTAATTTGAACGAAGTTTTTTCGCCAGAGACACTAGATGAGTATCGTTAATTTTATACATTAGAGTCCTATGTAGTCACTTCATAGTTAGAGCCTATTTGTGTATGTGTACTGTGTTGTCCTTTATGTGCTGATGAAGGCTAATCGCCGCAACGTCCTTTGTTTGTTTATTGTGATCGATTTTGTAAAGCTAACATAAACTAATTGTTGTTTCTTACCAACTTTTTCTCTTCCCTATAATTTTCTACTCCTTAAAAAAACATATTATTAATGCATCGCATATGACATTTTAAAATGCTACATCTTGTTTTATTTTTCTTTTCTGGGTGCACTATCAAAATGTGCATTAACAACATCATCATCATCATCAAGTGCTTTGCAACTGGCATTCGCAATCAGTCTGCATGCGGTTCAGGTGCGGAAACCTTTCCTTGCCATGATAAAAAGACTTTCAGAAATTTTCTCGATTTGTTTTTCTAAATCTAATTTTCCACAGGCCTTTTCACTGGTCCAAATTTGTTAATTCTTCTCATAATGTGACAGTAAAATGTTGACTGTCACTTTCTGTTGTTTGAGATAAGTGTCTCCAAGCTCTCCTTTTTTTTTCAAAACAGCTGGACCTCATTTGGCTGTCCAAGAAATTGTTAAGAAAATTAAAAGTCATCTGAAATAAATAGTCCAGATGTGTTGAAAGAGGCAAAGGCCCTTAAATAGCTTGTCACAAACAGTATATATGAGCATTTTAGGAATGATCAAATGGTAAAATTTGCTTCGCCTAAAATATTTTTCTTTGAAAATGTTTGCTGTTGATCTACATTTATACTCTGGTCTTTCAGGTACTTAAACATCTTCTGATTAACAAAATGTGTTATAAATATAAAATACCTCATTTGTTATTTATTAAATTATTTGTTTGATTTCACAGTATATGGGTTTGGAGTTCAGTCAACAGCATGTCACACAGTATGCACTTGATGTAGCTAATATTGTAGATTTGGTAAGTTTTTTTAAACATATTGTCTCATTACTTCTTCTTCTTTTGTTTGCTTAAACAGTTTGTCTGTATCTGCAATTTTGTATGGGGTATAAATTTCAGTCATTTTTAGTTCATTCAGTGGTCCATAAAGTTTACCTTCCACTTTATTTTCGTGGACAAAAGTTTTACTTTAATGTCTCATATGCAGGGCAGTTTTGGGGTACATGTTCTGTTGGGGGGGGGGGGGGGGGGGGGGGGGGGGGAAATGAGGTGCACACGTGTGCATGTCTGATGCACCAGTATTAAATTCTTTTTACATGTGGCTGCATAATTGGTTCTGCTGTCTGAGGTACACAATAATGACTGCTCTAACCATAATAAGATAGTCATATTGTGCATGCATTTATTAGGTTTTTTTAAAAATTGATTTAATTATCCTTTTTTAAGGGTATGTCATTATTTTTTCTATTACGTAACAATTATATGCTTGCCACTGATAAGTTCCTTTAAAAAAAAATAGCAAAACTCTCTATGGAGCAAACATAACAGGAGATTTCTGATGGTCAAAAGATATATCTTTTTGTGCACATGCTTTCTCTTCATATTCATCTTGATCAAAAGGCTGAAACATTTGCACCAGGGTAGACCATGTATGATGATCAAAAGGCTGAAACATTTGCACCAGGGTAGACCATGTATGATGATCAAAAGGCTGAAACATTTGCACCAGGGTAGACCATGTATGATGATCAAAAGGCTGAAACATTTGCACCAGGGTAGACCATGTATGATGATCAAAAGGCTGAAACATTTGCACCAGGGTAGACCATGAATGATGATCAAAAGGCTGAAACATTTGCACCAGGGTAGACCATGTATGATGATCAAAAGGCTGAAACATTTGCACCAGGGTAGACCATGTATGATGATCAAAAGGCTGAAACATTTGCACCAGGGTAGACCATGTATGATGATCAAAAGGCTGAAACAATTGCACCAGGGTAGACCATGTATGATGATCAAAAGGCTAAAACATTTGCACCAGGGTAGACCATGTATGATGATCAAAAGGCTGAAACATTTGCACCAGGGTAGACCATGAATGATGATCAAAAGGCTGAAACATTTGCACCAGGGTAGACCATGTATGATGATCAAAAGGCTGAAACATTTGCACCAGGGTAGACCATGTATGATGATCAAAAGGCTGAAACATTTGCACCAGGGTAGACCATGTATGATGATCAAAAGGCTGAAACATTTGCACCAGGGTAGACCATGAATGATGATCAAAAAGCTGAAACATTTGCACCAGGGTAGACCATGTATGATGATCAAAAGGCTGAAACATTTGCACCAGGGTAGCCCATGTATGATGATCAAAAGGCTGAAACATTTGCACCAGGGTAGACCATGTATGATGATCAAAAGGCTGAAACATTTGCACCAGGGTAGACCATGTATGATGATCAAAAGGCTGAAACATTTGCACCAGGGTAGACCATGAATGATGATCAAAAGGCTGAAACATTTGCACCAGGGTAGCCCATGAATGATGATCAGAAGTCCTACTGTCTGCTAACCAGCTGAGTATAACTTGGTTGAAACATTGGTATGAGAAAGGGACAATATACATTCTTTAGTTATGTCATGAAAAGGAGAAAACTGAAGTACATCATGACGGTGGGAAAGCTGGGAGGAGAAGAGAGGCAGAGGGAGACCGAGAGAGAAGGTGCTAGACAGCTTGACATCATGGTATAGGGTATCATCTGTATCAGAGTTGATTGAAAGTACATAAGACAGAAGGTTGTAGACATGACTACCAGTGCTACACGGCATGGACTTTAGGAAGAAGAAGCGTGTGGAAAATAGAACATCCCACAATGTGACACCTCATTGTTTGCTTCCTCATTCCTGAAAAACAATATAAATCCAAATGAGAAGCAGAACTAGTCTTTAAGACTTTTGCTCAAAATAGATGATAGACACGGTCACTGTTTTTAATCATGGCAAATTTATTGCTTCTGACAAACGACAACCATTGCATTTTCCTCCATTTGTAGACTAAAAAGATATAGTTTTATAGCCCAGCTACAGAGTTGATGAGTGCATGGCACAACACTTTGAGCTGCAGATATTTTTTGAAATGTTTTTGGACTGTGACCAACGTGATGTTGTGAACTGTAGATTCAGAAAATGGTGTATGACCTGTTCTCACAGAATTGGTGGTGCCTTATGTGATTAAAATATGATTAAAATTGACAGTGGGTGCAACTGCTGATCTGTTTGTAACTGCTGCTTCTGTTGATGATGAACTGCATTTCTAATTTTGGACTGTTTGTGTTAGAACTTCTGATGGCTACCTTATGCTATTAATTCGTATACTAGTGGAAATCCTCAGACTGCAGTCTGTGTCAAATTTTTTACAAGAGACGGTGTTTTTTTTTTTTTTTTTGCACAGGAGCGGAGCAACTATGTGCTGATTCGTTTGCTTTGAAGCTGAAACTAAGATTACCCAAAACTAGTCAGTTTCACAATACCACGGTTACAAGTGACAAAATGGACATTGCAGCTAGAAACATTTCATTAGCATACAACACAAATGGACAGTGATGCAATTACGGACAACAATACATAAATTATCTGTTGCAAAATCTCTATAACTCACTGGAACAGTGGATCATCTGCATTTACATGTTGTTGCAGTGTATGGACACGGGACAGGAAGTGACACACTGATTTTTGAGGGGCAGTAGATTGTGGTTTATGTCAAGGGACATACACATTTCTTAACTGGCATCTATAGTACTTGAATATGAAAAGAAAACTAAATTTTATATCATGAAATGATTTACACTTTTCTTTAAGAATATACACCAGGAAGAACAGCCTACGCTCCAGTCTGAGCAAACGGAATTTTAAAAAACAACAGCCATACTACTGTTTTTAGAAAATATAGTCAGATTTAAAAATCACTTTAAGAATATACAATGGAAAGAGCAGTCTAAGCTATCTTTGTGCAAGCAAAATAAACAAACATACTTCTTCTTTGAGAAATTATTGTGATTTTTTTGTGTGTGGGGTTAAATATGAATCTGTAAAATTATGTTGCATATCTACATTATATAAACTTGTTCCTTGTATCAACATAATCACATCATGTTATAGTAGATTATGTAATCTATTTGCATTTTGTAATCATAGTATTACAGAGAGCTTGGAATTGAAGTAGCTTTGACTTATTTGGAGTTCTGGAACCTTCAGAACCATTTTCATGTCGATGGCAATCACCGAGCATTGTTGAGCCAGTTCTTGCATTTCAAGAAAGCACACCTGCCACGTGAAAGTTTTGATGCCGTTTTCTTAGTGACGTAAGTACATAAATTCATTAATCTGTGAGACATGTTTAATAGTTTTTGAATCAGATCGTTAGACATGTAGTTGTGAAAATTGTTTTGTTTACGATAAAATAGAAAATACTTTCTGTTTAGTCGAAGTTTCAATATCCTCGCAATGAGAGAGGGGAGTTAGTACCTTGCAACTCATTATGTTTGTCAGTTTCTGTTGGCAAAATTTGTTTACCTTAACCCCTTGATGAGCTAAGAGCCGACATCATAGCACTGAAGAAATAAGCACCAGTCCCCATCTTCAGCAGCCGACGCAGAGTTTAAATTCCAGTTGTACCAGTAGCAGCCTCTTTCTTCTTTTTGTTTATCCAAGTGACATAATTGCATTATGTCTGTTTACAGCATATCTGCGATATTTGCTCCTTTCGGCCAGCATGTCCAACTTCAAAGAGTGTTTGTTGACTGGGTTAGCTTCTCAGAGAGTAGCAGTTTGATTGTGTGTCTGTCTCAGCTTTCCTGTAGGAGATGAGTGTCACCAGATCCACTGGTCACTCCCCACCACATCATTGCTTCCCGGAGAATAGTAGTTTGATTGTATGTCTGTCTCAGCTTTCCTGTAGGAGATGAGTGTCACCAGATCCCTGGTCACTCCCAACCACACCATTGCTTCCCGGAGAATAGTAGTTTGATTGTATGTCTGTCTCAACTTTCCTGTAGGAGATGAGTGTCACCAGATCCACTGGTCACTCCCCACCACACCATTACTTCCCGGAGAATAGTAGTTTGATTGTATGTCTGTCTCAGCTTTCCTGTAGGAGATGAGTGTCACCAGATCCCTGGTCACTCCCAACCACACCATTGCTTCCCGGAGAATAGTAGTTTGATTGTATGTCTGTCTCAACTTTCCTGTAGGAGATGAGTGTCACCAGATCCACTGGTCACTCCCCACCACACCATTACTTCCCGGAGCATATAGTCTGTTTGGATGTAATGTCTGTTCTCAGCTTTCCTGTAGGAGATGAGTGTCACCAGATCCCTGGTCACTCCCAACCACACCATTGCTTCCCGGAGAATAGTAGTTTGATTGTATGTCTGTCTCAGCTTTCCTGTAGGAGATGAGTGTCACTATATCCACCGGTCACTCCCCACCACACCATTCTCTCCAGTATCAGTTTTTGTGCCTCCGGATTGTTCACCTAC